TGGGATGCAAGGTTGGTTCAATATCCACAAGTCAATTAAAGTGATACACCACATAAACAACATAAAGGACAAAAATCATATGATCATATTAATGGATGCAGAAAAAGCATTTGACAAAATCCAGCATCAATTTATGATAAAAACTCTCAGCAAAGTGGGAATAGAGGGAACATACCTCAGCATATTAAAGGACATATATGACAAGCCCACAGCTACCATCATACTCAATGCAGAAAGCTAAAAGCATTTTTGCTAAGATCAAGAACAAGACAAGGATTTCCAGTTTCACCACTTTTATTCAACACAGTATTGGAAGTTCTAGTTACAACAATCTGACCAGAAAAAGAAGTACAAGGCATCCAAATTGGAAAGGGAGAAGTAAAACTGTCATTATTTGCAGATGACATGATACTATTGTAAGGAGCTGTCCTCAGGATACTGTTGTAAGAACCAAATTTGAATAAGGTTCCAGGAAACTATTCAGGACCCCCTTTGTCCCTGGGACCAGACCAGGGGCTTCCTGTCCACATTCTGTTCAAAACCTGTTTCAAGGAGGAGGTCATGCTCTGGCCAAGCAACACCTGCAATGGATGTAGTCAGGTGCCAACAATAACTGCTTGTTTTGCAGTAACGGTCTATTCTTGAATCTGTAAACCAGTTTTCAATAACGGTTTATTGTTGTTTATTCTCGCTTCTGTAAACCTGTTTATAATAACAGTTTATTCTGTAAACATGCTTCTGCTTAAGCTCCCGGAAATAGGTAAAGCATATATAAACTCTCACTGGCCAAGGCCCGGGGCCTTCTCCTCTTGCAGAGTGAGACGGACGCCAGGCCTGGCTCAATAAAGCCTTCGTAACAAAATCTCTGTCTCTTAGGTCTTTATTAATGACCAAGGACCTAATACTATATAGAGAGAACCCTAAAGATTCCACCAAAAAACTGCTAGAACTGATAAATAAATTCAGTCAAATAGCAGGATACAAAATTAATATTCAGAAATTGGTTGCATTTATTTATTTATTCATTTATTTATTTTTTTAGCTGAGCTATCCTGCCACCTGTTGGCAGCTCAGCGGCAGCTCAGCTTGGGCCGGACTCCAACAGCTGTTGCTCAGAGCTCAAACCTTTGAGTGAACTCTTAACCAACTGAGCCACTCAGCTGGCCCTGGTTGCATTTTTATACACCAATAATGAACTATCAGAAAGAGAAATTAAGAGAACAATCTGGGCCAGCCGAGTGGCTCAGTTGGTAAAGAGCACAAGCTCTGAACAACAGGGCTGCTGGTTCAATTCCCACATGAGCCAGTAAGCTGCGCCCTCTACAGCTAAGATTGTGAACAACAGCTCGACCTGGAGCTGGGATGCTGTGAGTCGTCGGCGATGGTGTAGGCTGCAGTAGGCTGCCGTGAGCTACCGTGAGTGGCCAGCAGCCAGCAAGAGATGCTGTGAGCTGCCATGAGCCACCATGAGCTGCCGTCCAATGGCCGGCGACTGACTGTCTCAGCTGGGAAAAGCACAATGATCATAATACCAACATGGGCCAGTGAAGCAACGTCCTCCACAACTAGACTGAAGAACAAAAGGACAACTTGGCTGTTTCCCTTCCCCAACTCCCCTACACTGTTCCCCTGCCCCAATTCCCCAATTAAAAAAACAAATCTTCAAAAAAAACCCCAATCCCATTTACAATTGCATCTAAAGAAAATACCTAGGATAAATTTAATTGAGGAGGTAAAAGACCTATACTTGGAAAACTATAACACACTAAAGAAAGCAATTGAAGAGGATACAAGTACGTGGAAGCATATACCATGCTCATTGACAGGAAGAATTAACATCATTAATTTTTCTTTCACATCGTAGGTCTTTCATGTGGTGCAGTAAAAACTCTATTGGAGGCTGCTGGTGTCTGGGAGCATTGCTGTCAGGGTCTCTTACCCTGCTGGTTGTGCTGCCAGTAACTGAGCTCTAGGGATGAGCTGCGGGGCCATGGACTGGGTAATGCGTCTCTGGGTTCTATGTGGGAAGGCCACCACCTGCCCTGGAGGAGTCATGGTGTAGTAAGGAAGTAGATAAATCACCACCAGCCTGACCTTTCTGTCCGCATTCCTCTTGGTTCCTGATGGTCAGTGTTCAGGTTTCTTAAAGCAATTGTCTACATGGGAAGCATTCAAGATTTTCTCAAAATTCTGCCTTAATTTCTTTTGTCATTCCTTGTGTCATTGCTATTTTCCTGACATGTTCTAGCATTTGTCTCATTATATCTAGATTACTAAGCATGTGACTGATTGTTGGTTGAATTTCTCCATCGCGGCTGCTGCATTCCAGTTCTGCCCTGTCTTCCAGTCTTACTACACAAGGACTAGAAAACATTCCCTGAACAAAGTAATTTTCCATCGTGTTGGGATTGAATATGAAATGCTATTATACCTGAATTTATGTTTACAGAAGCTGGGTGTGTATAAGCCAGCCCCTTCAACTTGCAAGCTCTCTCGCCATGGCCATCTAACCAGCAGTGTTGAGCTTCCTCCAATACGGTGTGGAGTCAGTTTGAGGAGCTGCTGATGTTATAACACACATTTCCATAGGTGTGTGTTTGCTAAAGTGAACTACCCTGAAGTGTTTGTTTGGGTTCTGATGAGGATATAACCGAGGTGGATTCCATACTGAGTCTAGGAATCCTGATTTTGTAACATTCTCCCAGCAAAAATCACCAGGAGCTGTGAAGTAGTTAGAAATTTCTTTCTTGGGCGGCTTCTTCCTCGGGGCTGCACAGAAACGCTGGGTTTGGAGCTTGGCAGAGCCAGTGCCAAAGCAGGACAGAGCGGGGGGCTGGGAGGGGCGGCCTTCCCCTCTCTGAGGCGTGGCCCTGCCTGGGGCAGGCGAGCAGGGAGGCAGAAGGCAGCAGGCTGGCTCCGGTGGGCCCGGGACGGCGCGCCGCGCCGAGCTCCCAGCTGCCGAGGGCCGCGGCGAGGGGCGCCACCTCCCGACGGGCTGCTCGGCCCGGCTCCGGGCCTCTGGGCTCTCCCAGGTCAGACGTCTCCCTGGAGCTCTGGAAGTGCCCTTGGCTTCCCTGAGGTGTAGGGAAGATGCAATTGGACTCGTCCTTTGTGGCTTCTTGTGTCTGGGAAGACTGGGCTAGTGAGAAACCAGGGGAGACTCAAGGGACCGTGTTCACGATTTATTGGGGATTTGCAATTCTCAATAAGACTTTTCCTCAAAAACAGGGAAACAGAAACCAGTCAAATTGAAGAAATGGCCGAGAGGAAAAAGAGAGGACGATGAGTTCCAGTGCCAACAACAACAGTTCCCGAGAGCCCTAACACGGTCGAAAAGCAGAGGAAACGAGGCTTTCCTGAAATTCCTCTGCTGTTGGTCTGAGGTGCGGGTCTCGCTCGCTCAAAGTCCGGTCCTCTGGCGCCGCCCTGTGGCCGCTCGGCCCAATGGCATTGCAGTCCCAGCTACCGCCCAAACTCCCCATCTGACCTTGCTCATTCCAAGTCCAGCAATACATGGCGCTGCATCAGGCAAACCGGGTTTGGGAGAGTGCCCAACCAAGGAGATCTACCTCCGCTCCGCTCTGGACCTCTGACTGGGGTCTGCAGTGGGCCTCTACTCTTCATCGCAGGTGCTTGGTGCAGGTTCCCGCCCACATAGGCCTTTGTGGTTGCTCCATCTCAGGCATCTGCCCTTGTCTGGGATGACTTTGGATTTGCTAATGATTTTTTGGATATGACACCAAAGGCCCAGGCAACAATATCAACAAAAAACAGGTCAGTTGGATTTCGTCAAAACTAAAAATTGTACATCAAACAACACTATAAACAGTAAAAAGGCAACCCATGAGATGGGAGAAAATATTTGCAAATCATATATCTGATAAGGGATTACTTACCTGAGTATGTAAAAAACGCCAACAATTGAACAACCAAAATAATCCAATTAAAAAATGGGCAAAGGACTTGAATAGATATTTCTCCAAAGAAGATATACAAATGGCCAATAAGCACATGAAAAAATGTTCAACATCATGATCATTTGGGAAATGCACATCAAAACTATAATGAAATGCGATTTCACACCCATTGGTATGGCATATATATATATGATGTTGGCACATATGTGTATATATATATACATATATATATATATATGATGTTGGCATAATGTGAGGAAATTGGAACCTGTGTGCATTGCTTGTGGGAATCTGAAATGGTGCAGCCACTATGGAAAACAGTATGGGGATTCTTCAAAAGATTAAACATACAATGATCATACGATCTGGCAATTCCATCTCTGGGTATACACTCAAAATATGTGGAAATAGGGACTCAAACAGATATGTGCATACCCATGTTCACAGTAGCATTATTCACATTAGCCCAAAGTACCCATCTATAAATGAACAGATAAACAAAATATGGTCTATACACACAATGGACTATTTTTTCAGCCTTTTTAATGGAATGAAATTCTGGCACATGCTGCAACATGGATGAACATTGAAGAATTTTTTCTAAGTGAAATAAGCCAGTCACAAAAGGACAAATATTGTATGATTCCATTTAAATGTATCTAAATTAGTCAAATTTACAGTGATGAAAAGTTAAACAATGGTTGTCAGGGACTGAGAGGTAGGGGGAAAATGGAAAGTTAGTGTTTAACAGCTACAGAGTTCCAACTGGGAAAGATGAAAAAGTTTAAAGATGGGTGATGGCGATAGCTACGCAGCAACATGTGTACTTAATGCCACAGAGAGCTACACACTTAAAAATGATTAAAATGGTAAATTTTATATTGTGCATATACCACAATAAAAAAGGACACATTCCCAAAAACATAAAGGACAGAAGTAGTCTGAAGATTCCAAAATGTCCATAAGTAACATTGTTTCCATGTTAAGTGTCATAGATACTTGACAACCGACCTTGTCTCCATACCCCTTCATAAACCACAAGCGAAAATGTAACTAACTGCAATAGTTGTGCATGACAACACCACTGCAAGGGGGTCCCTATTGCTTACAGACAGTTTAGCAATCTACTCCAAACTCCCAGCCTGAAGCTTCATTTTCCAGAACCATTTACAGTGCCAGTTGTCTTAGCCTGGATCCTTCAGAGTGCAGAGACTGAGTCAGGATTTAAGATGCTAATAATCATTTGTGAAGCACAAGCCCAGGCCTGAGAAGGTTAAGAGAAAAGGGAATTCAGTCAAGGAAAAATGTGACACAATGCAAAGCAATACAGAACTGTGCTGGCCTCTGCTTCAAAGCAAGCCTTGAGAAGCCAGCTGTTTGCTCAGTAGGTCGTTTCACTCTGCACACAGGATTTGTTTGGGAAGGCTGTATGAGGACCCTGGCCCGGACCCTAGGCCAGACAGGCTTGTTTTAAAAATAACCCAGCCCTATAAAACTTCCATCTGCCAAGACCTCGGGGCCATTCTCCTCTTGCAGAGTGAGGCAGTCGCCAGGCTTAGCTTAATAAAGCCTTTGGAACAAAAACTCTGTCTCTTAGGTCATTTTTAAGAAGTAAGGACCTAACATTTGGAGGCTCCAGTGAGATCAGGGCGGCCGGCTCAGCTCCTCCCTCTGTGATTGCCGACCTTTCATCAGGGGGTTGGCCAACCTGATGGTGTTCCAGGGCCCCAGCAACTGAGTTGGCATCCCCGGGAGTGGAACTCGGGCTTTGCAGCCCCCTTCATTCCAGAGACTTTATTTGGGAATCCTTCAAAGGTAAGAGGTCTCTATGATCTCTTTTGGTTTGGGGTTGCGACTATTGGGGGACTCTAAGGGGCTGGACGCGGTATATACCCTTGAGTCCAGGGAGACCCTGTGACAGCTGAGAGTGTCCCCTTGGTTTGGGTCAGATTTAAGCTGCGGTAAGTATTCCATGGCTCCTGGCCCTTTTGGTTTCCTCGCCCCTTGGTTTTCCCTTCTAGATTCCTGGAATGGACTTGGTTTCCCCTTGGTTCTCCCTTCTAGATTCCTGGGAGGGACTTGGTTTCCCCTTGGTTTGGTCAGGGAGTGTCACACACGGTGACCATTGGCCCTCTCCTCTAGATTCCTGGAGGAGTTTGTGCTGTCTTATCTGTTTTGGCACCATGTTTGTCTCTATTGTTCTTCTCATTGCCTGAACTGTCTCTGGAAAGTCAGTTTTATGTTTATTTTCGTCGTCTAATTCTTGTCCCTGAGAGATGGGACACCTCTGGAGGCGTCGGCAGTGTGACCTGGTAAATTCCTCACGTTCTGTTGAGGAGACCTGTTTTGTTCCTCATAATCCTGTAAGTAAACCTGGTACTTGGGTAGGCCCTGTCTGTCTTCTATGTTTTTATCATTCTGTTTAGCAGATCTTGGTTCTGGTCTAGTTAATTGGTACAAGGAATTGTTATACCTTGGTTCTGGTAAAGGAATGCACAGGGGATGCACCTAATATTTAACGAATGTCTGTCACATGGTCCCTGTCTTTTGTTGTCTTTTTAATCTATTTGGTAAACCTGGTATCTGAATATGTCTCTTATATACCATGTTTCTTATTGTCCTTTTGTCTATTTGTTCAGCGTCTCCTTAATGGTCTCCCCTAGTTTCTTCCCTGATCCCCGTCTTGCCATGTAAATTAACTTTTAGTTTCAATCCCAACTGGGAGCCCACTGGGCAAAATAGTAGGCCATTGGAAAACTATAAGCTGTTAACCAAAAGGAAATTAATGTTCAATTACAGTACTACTTGGCCAATGTATGTTTAAATTGTGGAAGGCGCTGGTCACTCTATAACTTATTGGGTTGCACTATTATGTAGATAAAATTGTTCTGTTAGAGAGTCTGTAAAATAGGTCTTAGATAAAACTTTTCAATAGTAATTGTATAATATAGATACTTGGATATGGTTTCTCAGCATCTGTTGGTAACTTAAGATTTTAATTTTACTAAGTTATATTAAATAATAAAAGTTATTAAATATCTAGATATTTCAAGATAATAAAATACTAAAATATTAATTATTAGATAGGTCTGAGTTCATCTATTTCTGGCTTCTTGTCACAGAAAAGCTAAAAGGCATAACCTATACTCCTAAAGGTTACACAATATATTATAGATTTACTAATAAAAATATTGGTTACTTGGTTTTGGTTGTCAATAAAAATTAAGGTCTTAAAGGTTATAGATTTTGGTATAAAAGAAAATACAAAAAAGATATAGGATGTAGACATGTACTTTTAAAGAAACTGAGGGAGGATAGTTTGTCCTGGGGATAATTATTTCTAAATAAATGGGACAAGTTGGAAGAAACTAGACAAGTTATAAAAAAAATGTAAAAAAATTTTTTTGGGGGGAGAATTTTATGTATGGTTAAACTAGATATATGTAAATAAGTCTAAATATCACAAATAAGCTAATACAGGGTTAATTAAGTTTTCCCTTTTTACTAGATGGTATAAAAATTTGTTAAATTCCTGGTCTACTACTAATGTTATAAAAAAGGTTTTCTGCCTGAAAAGTAAAGATTGTATGTCATCAAAATAGTTTTCTATGTTTTGTATTGTCTCAATCAGGTCTTTGGTTGCTCAAGGGATTAAACTTAGGAGTTCAGTTTTGCTAATAGCTATATAGACTTCTGTGTTTTGGAAAGCACTAGAGCTCATACACTTTCTTTGGTATCAAATATGGGCCAACGTAGGGAAGCCTCACCTAATACAACTGGTAGCATATTCTAATAGTTCTGGCCCACTGTTACCTCCTGGTTAAGAGGCTCAGATCCTAAAAAAAGGGGGCCAGAAAGTTATTTAAATATCTTTAACAGCTAAAATAAAAATAGGGGAACAGTCAGAGCGGAAGATAAGACCAGAGCCAAGCCAGATTTTGGCCACAATTATAATCACCCAGGGCTGGAGCCGCCTCGGGGCATCCCACAAGCCCCAGAAGAGGAAGAACCGGCAAAGGAGCCAGCTTTGGATATAAGAGGCCAGACTACTGGAATGAGGAGTATCCTAATCTTGCTAAACAGCCGTGCCCTCTGTAAAAACTGGGGGGCCCTGGAGGGGGGATTTTCCCCTCCTCTGAAGGGAGCGGGAACAAGTTCCTCCCCACAAGGGGCTGTAAGTAACTACAGGCCTAAAGCTCCCAGTGGCTCCCAAGCTATTCTCATCACAGGGGTAAAACTGTGGGTAACCCTGACGTGGCAGGTAACCCTGTTAATTTTTCTAATTAATATAAAAGTCATTTATTCTGTCTCAACTGCTCGGTCTAGGCCTTTTTCGTTTTCTCTAAAAACTACTCGGTTACAAAGACAGAGAGCCCCTGGATTTAAACTTGTTTTACTAAGTCTGTTCCTTACCATTAGTCTATATCTTAAAAAAAAAAAAGTATATATATATATATATATATATATATATATATATATATATATATATATATATATATTACTATTAAAAGCCTAGAAAAGGGCCTGTCACAGACCAGTTAGTTCCTATATAGAAAAAACCCTGTACAATTTTTTGTACCAACAGCTATTGTGCTCCAGAGGGAGTAACTAGGTCCACTTCCCTTAAATTAATCTTTTCATTTAAGTCTCCACAGGACTTCCCCAAAGAAAGACTGTCATTCATGTTCCTAGGAGCCAGTTAAAACCCTTGGACTCCTGTTCAAGCTAAACTACTAAAACTACTCGTTGTTGCTTTTCTCAGTTTGACATGATCGGAGGTCCTTCTCAAGGTTTGAAGATTGACCCTACCAGGATCTGCCAACAATTAAAGGCCTTGGAGATATGGGTGGTACCCCAGCA